TGTAGAAGCACGCCGGCTTAGTAACGAGAAGCTGACTCTGTCTCCGAAGGCGGACTCCGTCTCCGAAGGGGGAAGGATACACATATTCCCGTTGAACTGTGTTCGTACATTACGCTTCTACGCAGATGTGGTGGAAAGGTGTTACTTCCTCTTTTAGGTGATTTTTCCATAAAGCAGATGTTTGCTCAGGGTTTGGAAAGGTCGATACGCACGAATCTGTTTGAGATGTATTATTTAGTCATCTACGTACTTACGAGTTCATGCTAACTATTGATATTGCTAATCAATTGTTTTAATATTTTGTAGTCTTCCTTACATCCGGGTCCTCTGCAGCTTTCCGTCCGCTCCATCAAACTTAGCAATGACACTTTTGTGCTATTTGATGCTCTGCCTTTACGACCTTCCTCCCCCCGACGGCAAGGGCAACCCTCCATGGGTTCCGCACAACGATGCTATACCCTGTTTGCACTTGATATATTATAAGGGCATGATAAGGGTACCATCTATGGAAAAGGCGTTGCGCAGCGCCTGCTCGGGAGCACGAGATTCCGCCCTGCCGAGCGTATTCATCTTGTTTGTCTTCAGGGACTTATCGCGCCAACTGCTTCTGAAAGGTGAGAGCCGCGATGTTCAGGTGTCAGAGCAAGAATGGGGTGCTGGTGACGAAAACGTTGGTGATGGGTGGCAGGAAGTGCTGACTACTGAAAGGAGCTGATAGGGGCGTCAGAAAGGGAGCGTCAGCCACTCCATACTACAATGCACAGCTGCAGTGAGACATTGGTTCCATGAAGTGATACGATGGGCAGGAAATGGACACTGGTGGTGAATGGCAGGAAGTGATTATATGATCGACTGGACTGGCGAGAAACACTCTTTGCTAGGACACATCATTGGTTGGAGATTTTGGTCGAGTCCGTACGACCCCCCCCCACATTTTTTTGGAGGGTTAATACGACTCCCCTCTACGGCTCTCTGCCCTCCTCATCGACCTGTCGAGCAGGGGGGGGGGAAGTGGTAAATAATAGTAGGGGGGCACATGTGAAACGGGAAAATCACGAAAAGTCAACCACTTCTCCCTGAAGGCCAGAAACGAATACGATCCTCCTCCCTCCCAACAATGAGCGAATACGACCCCCACCCCCTTACAAGGTCCGTGAAGCGAGAAAAATCAACTATCAGAATAAATTTTCTCGGCCCAAATACGACCCTCCCCTCCCGGCAACCCAATACGCCCCCCATCAAACAACAAAAGAACCAAAGAGCAGGGTCCATCGTTGATAAATCCCCAACAACGATGTGTCCTGCTCTTTGCTTCTCTTGTTCACACCCCTATGACTAAACTGCAATCACCGTGGTTCGTGCATTCAAGGGTAGAGGCTAAGTGAGTGGGCATTCATCTTTCGCAATAGAATCGAGAGCGACTCAATTGCTAAATTCTCCTGTTCCACCGAAAAGTAGATATTCATTGTCAGTGACGTTTGTCAATAAGAACTTGTAAAAATGGTTGTGCGGGAATCGCTCCACCATCGTCGCAAAAACTTTCATTCTTATGTCGATTCTAGAGCCCTAGGAATTTTTCGCCAAACGTTCCTGATTTCCACTAAATGGTAGATGTTAATGAAATATGATAAGCACTGAGCATTGAGCACTGAGCAGTAGTCGATCATATTCCAAGTCATCGGTGCAGTTTTTGGGGTCGGTTCATGTGTCCCATCAGTTCCAAATGCATCACCATGTGGCACGCGTATGAGCTCAAGCTTCAAAGGCAGTTGGCACAGTAAATCTCTAAGACGTGTAGGAGTACGCCTAGCAGAACTGAAAACGGCGCCCCTAAGCAAGCGCTGCTTTGGCCTTTCTCCAAGGAAGGTACCCTTATAGCGCCCTATCAATCTACAACGTACCGACCCTGGCGAATACCGCGCCGCCCGCCGACAAATGTCCGACCGATGCTGATGCTCGTTCGGCTTCATTTGCTAAGTACATTGTGAAGCGAAGGGATTGATGGCTGCGGTGCTGCATGGATACATTAGTACATACATGCACCCATATCTACCGTAGTGGTCATTGGCACGATGCCAACAAGCACCGCCACGAAACTGCTTTCTGATTTGTGTG